ACATTAGTGTGCAGGAAAACCGTTAAAAATTAAAATTCGTAGTATTAAAACTGAATATTTGGTGTGGACCCATATTTTTGAGAATTAGTATTTTATTAATACTGAGGATCAAGGGCACCAACTTTACATCCAGTAATATTCCAGATTTGTTACTTTACTACAAGTTGCAGTTCAGCTTTTTTTAAATCTACTCCCCACTTTGTCTTTCGGTTTATATCCAATCATTTTTACCCGAAGCCTAACAAAGTTGCTGTTGAATATCTCATCATCTGTGAATGTGCGATACAATACGATAATTGTTAGTTTAACTCCCGGTTTTGGTATCGGGTCACTTAGGGCTCAGTCAGGCGGCCTGGCCTCCAGAACAGGCCATTAGCTCCCAACCCCTTTTATGCCGACAATACATATTCCACCCGTGCATTATGTATTCTTCCGTCTTTAGCGATGTCTCCAACCGCTACACTTGGTTTACTTTCGAGACTTTAAAACGAATACCCCGATACTTCTGCCGAGTTTAGATGCTGATGAGGCGACTATAAATCGCAACAAATACTTGATAATGATTTACCCTTGTTACAAGCTCATGACTGATTCCTCCTGATATGACTACTAATATGTGGAGCGTTGGGAGGATTTCGAAATCTATTAGTTTGAGCCGCAATCGAGGACGGATCCTCAATAAATAAGAACTACTAACGACTGCCTCATCAACAAAATGATTAAAAGTCGACGCGGGCGAATTAAAACGCACGCGTTTAACGCTAGACCTCAGTTGACTTCTCCTTGGTACTGGCCTAATTGTGATTAGCAGAACAAATCATAAAGTATACCTCAATATGATGGTTAAAATAATAAACATTTTCTATTCAAGGTGCAGGAGTAGACAACGTGATTAAAGGCACTTTCAACACTAGAGTTGCTTCTCGTGGGGACGAGAAGGCACAATGAGGCCCAACCCATCTGTGTACTCAGTGGAACCTTTCTCTGGTTTGGGGCACCATCATCTGGTATGTGGTCAGTCAAGCAAAAGGAGAGAATTACACTCAACGGAGTAGTCAACCTTCTTCCCAGACATTCCTTTAGAAGATGGGGTCATTCCCAAACGTGGAACTCCAGGCGACCAGCTTCACCTCTCCCCATTTTGTTGCATCCGTTCAGAAATGAAAACCCAGGCATGGATGTCGAAAACCTGGTTTACAATTCAGAATTAAACTCTTTGTTCCCATATTTCTGGAGATCAAATGGGCTAAGTGGTCAACTTAACCACAACTTGACTAAGTGATTGGGCAAAATTAGATCTGGAATGTTATTCATGAGAATTGAACCAAGGCATTCGAAATAGGTTCGTTGGTGTGCTACCACTGCCTCCACCTGTCGCAGGTTTTAGTCGACAGGTGCCAGTGGATTCATTTAAGGCTTCTATAGTCACGGTGAGGGTTTTTACAATAAAAAATGACTTTGACAGATTAAAAAAGAGAATCTATTTTACTCAATGAATGGATTTTATCATATCCACGGTTCTTTTTTAAAACTTGGGTTTAAGTGATGAAATCCTACAGTTCTGTAGGGCTGGATTAATGAAGCAAAACTGTGGATAGATAAGAAAGGCGACAAAAAGTATCGCCAAGAACAGACCACTGCAATGGATGCCATATTTATCAAAAATTTGAGGGAGTTTACAAAATTCCATTCTTTGTGTGCGAATAAGCAAGCAGTAAGACAATTTCAGAGACAAAAAAACGGAAAATGTAAAAAAAGGAAAACAAACACTGTCGCACCCGAGCTGACAACTTAAATTTGGTCCAGATGTACTCAGTCTTCGAGCATTAAGGTAGTTAATGAAAAATGCCACCCCTACGCAAAAATTTTTAGCTATCCAATTTCTTCCTAAGAGCAGCATTTAGCAATTTGCTTAACGACGAAGTCGGTCGGGCGAAACATTTACCGGAGAACGGTCACGATTTGGCATCCCTAAGCAAGGCCCTAGAGAAATTCCGGTCGTCATATTGGGATAAATAACCGAGCTCAAACTTTTGTGTTGCCAACAGACCCCGGTAATCAATTGTACCCTAACGTCGTAACAATTCGTCACCCTTGAATCAGTGATTGCCTTAAATTATAAGAATACATTTGCACTTCTGATTCAAAACTCTTACGCCCAGGTGGCGCATGACACATGAAGTCCCGCTCGCTTTAACAAAGCCCAAACACCAAGTTCCGATGATCACGGCCCAAGTCGGGAGCTGCTGGTGCGGTCAACACCCACAAAATCCGTCTAAAACAATATCGGCCCCGCTCGCCGTCAATGATAAGCCATCCCACAGACAGCCTCGAGGACCAAACTCCGTCTAGATGATGTACAGGACACCCAAATGTCAACAAACGACTAAAAAATACAGCCGCCTCGTTATCACATCCGTTAGCAAAGTTTATGACAAATTCAACGCCTGAGTGGAGAAACATGAGGAGGGAGGCAAACATCGTGTGCATAAGAATACAAGAGTGGCGTAGTTCAGTAGGGTGATCACCCAGGGACGGACAAGCGCCACATTTGTACATTAATTTTTAGAATCGGTTCAGTCTTAACGCTTCCCGAACCCCCCGCTACGCATCGGAGCGTTGAAGTTCGCTGCCGCTTGGTATTGAAGTTGGTAGGCCAGCGGATGAATTTTAAAGCCGTACAGCCTAGAGCGGAGACAAATAAGTATAAGTAAAAACAAGCTAATACTGAACGGGTTATGGCAAAAAACAATTAATCACACAACAATATTTGTATATGAATATCGTCAGCATCTGATATACGTACTCACATGCCATATATTATCGCTAGATAAAAAGCGTTGAATATCATGCAGGCACTTCTGCTAAATGCACACTTGAGTGCAAAAAATAACACTCCTTAAAGTGTGAATAGAAGAACCGCCAGAGGCTTTAAAAAGTCCGCTTAGCGCATCTTCATACCTAGCCACGAACTGTTTAGGAGCACGCTTGGGTCGATACTCAGGGTGGACAGCAAAGAGCATGTGAGGAAAGCCGGTTCCAAAGTAGGCGCCATCAGTGTGGTGATGTCTCGTCGACTTCGGCGTGTAGACATCTTGGCAACGCGGACAGTAGATTTTTACCATCGCTTCACCAGGAATATCCGAAAGACCGATTGGCAAGCAAGGTTGATTATCGCAGTAAACCTACAAGATCAAATATTGTTTGGAAGGGAAGTAGATTTCGAAAGTATGAAAGAGACTAACTTACGCGAGGGCAATAACCAAAATCACCCTGAAGCCATTTGTCACCCATCATCATGAGTCCACGATTGGTGAGAATGTAGCGCGCGTGAATGAGACCGTAGAGCATCTCAGCGGCCTGTTCAATAATGTCAGGTTCATTCGCATCATTGGGCATTTCATCTACTAAGAATGAAAGAATTGGGCTTAAAAATATGAAGCTAAACCAGTCAGTTATGAAATACCAACTCGACAAATGTAAACTGGACCAGCTCCGGACAAGAAGTAGAATCTATCATCCATGACAAAAAGACAAAGATGACATACCACCTCCAGGAGCTAGGCAAGAGAGTACCTATTCTTTTAGTTCGTCAATCTGACGATTATGGGAACCATGCAGCCGACGTCACAATGACCGCATAAGATAAGCAAACAGGTAAAGAGTCTGATTTGAATAAAAGCACGTAACGGCAGGAATCCAAAACTATTAGCATATCTAGCACAGAACGCTTGCAGAACACACAAGCAGTTCAGAGGAGACGGATACACGAGCAAAATTACAAAAAACAAATGTCTTTAAGCCCCATGTAAAGTGTAAATGAATCAGCTTATGCGAGGAGACGTACCAGGCTCCAAATCCAGTATCATATCAAGAGCAGCACGAAAATTAGGCACTTGTTCCGAGAGCCCGGTAAGATTGAATCTGTCCTGAATGTACTCCTCGTCGACTTCACAGAAGAACTCATTTCCGCGCAAGCCACAGAACCAAAGAATCCACGACACCTCCTCGCTACTACTCATTCCAGACTGTGAAGCAAACGAGGACGCGGTCGATGTGTCGGACTGACTAATATTGTCTGGTAAAAAGGTATACAAGTTAAGAATGAGGCATAAGAAAAATTGGTGACGCAAAACTATATACCCACAAAAATCAAAAAGGTAACCAAAACATATAGAATCGTTGTTATTAGACTAACAACAGGGGAAGTATAAGTACACCGCACGTTATAGAGATTCCAAAAGCTATAATATCCAAAGGCAAGAAGCAGCGGCAAAAAAGACAACACGTGCTCATTAGGCCAAGATCAGGTGTCACAACAAATAAAATGAATTGAAAATGGTTAACCTAGAACAAAACTAACCGAGGCCAAAAACTGTACAGGCCCTTAGACTATTGCCGCCCAAAACCGATGGAAGACTGAATAGAAAATTAAAACAAACTAGACAGCAAAAAAAATAGAAAACAACAAAAACAAATAAAGTTAAAAAATCAAGACTGTAGCTCAATTTTTCTTTAAAAAAAGCTTGCTAAAATTTTTAGGGTGCACTATATTTGACTAATTTCTTACCGGCAGCACATGGAGACCTAACAAAAATAATTGATGCAAAAGTTTTTAGTAAAGTGTAAAAAAACATTAGAGAATTAATTGGTGATGTGCTGCAGCTCCTTATTATACGGGTTATTCAACAGAAAAACTGCTCATATCCAAAAAAAAGGCATCTGTGTAATACTTACGTTGTCCTAATGTACCTTTCAGGGAGAAGAAAAGCAGAAAATTGGAATTTTTAGTCAAACTGTCCTCTTTTGTACCTAGTGACTACAGTTCCCCTCCTTCTTGAACATTGTATTTTCCCTCCCCATCTTGTCACATTGAATAAAGATGTCCAAAGCGAATCAACCGGGCTTATCATACATTTTTGCATAATAATATTCCTATTTTAGTGCTTTTAGAGCAGGAGTTAAGTTGCAGAACTCCACTTTGCTGTATCTACTTTTCTGTACCTGATGCATTTTGAAAAGTTATGCATCTAACTTTCAAACGGTTTTTTATTTTCACTGTCCATTTTGATGCTATAGAAAAAGACCAGGCATGTATTCTGGTTTAAGGTTATTTGTTTCAATAAGCACTGAGGAGCTCCGTTACCTCGTGCTTTGAAGCGTGTTCGACATGGTACGTGGTTGTGTTCTCACTCTTTTCTGCTCACTGATTTGGTTTTTTTTTGAGAATTGGTGTATACTACTTTCTAGACGGACAACGTTCTCATTAGGACCCGAAAGTTTATGTCCAATAGATTGCTTTCTAGGAAGCAAATGGTTTTGGACGTCTTTCATCCAGGACAGCCTGTTCTTTCTAAGAAAGAAATTCGTGAACGCTTGGCCAAAAAGTACAAGACTACCCCTGATGTCGTATTTGCTTTCGGGTTTCGCACCAAATTTGGTGGAGGGAAGTCTTCTGGATTCGTGAACGTATATGACTCTCTTGATTATGCTAAGCGATATGAGCCTAAGTTTCGTCAAGCACGCGTATGTTCTGATTTCGATCTTAATGACCACTTTTTAGAACGGTCTTATATCGATAGAGAAGAGCGCGCGTAAACAACGCAAGGAAAAGAAGAACAAACTAAAGAGGATCCGTGGTACAGCTAAAGCCGACGGTGTTGAAAAGAAGAAAAAGAAGAAGAAGTAGACTTAGATCTGTAGGCATGAACTTGTTCTGGGTAATGCGTTGCTGGTGCCTTTTCTAATATACTGGCTTATTCTGTACAGCGAGTATTTAGTCAATGTCCGCGTTTGTTCCACTCGTTAAAGGGCTTGGTGACGGGGAACCTAGTGTCTGGGTTGGTTGCCGTTATGCGATGTGGGCTTGTGCTTTTCGCCAGTAGCTTCGGCTCCCGCAGTTCTCGTATCATCGCCTCTTCAGTGCGCGGGTGGTCATCTTTTCGGATATTTATGGCGCATTCCTCATGCATTTGCCAGTGGTGTTATACAAGCGTTAACTGGAGGTGGCCGAGCTTCCATCCGTTCCTGTTACTACCGTTCTCGTCGGGCTTGGTGCGCGGTAGAAGCCGCGCGGTGCGGACCTCTAGAAATCAGGTGGGCGGAACGCTTCGCCCCTGTTGGCCTCTAGTGATATGCCGTTGGCTTCCTACCCTCCCGTCAAAAAGTGCGCGCGGGGCATCGCACACCAAAAGATGAAGGCATCGAATAGTCTAAGGTGTTCCGCCAACGTCCCACTCCCAGCGGTGAATCACCAGTTTATCCCCAAACAGGCTAGCCGTGACCCAAGGCACACGCCTACTTGTTTCGGCATGATTGCTACAGGGGGTGGCAGCTACTCTTGAGAAGCAGTTATCGTCTCGGTGCATATGACCTCTTTAGTGGCATCTGCGATTAAAATGCGCAGATCTGACACTCCTCACAAGCAAGAAAGTATTTGGGAGAAAAGTTTAACAAGAAGTCAAACAGAGTCCACCATAAGGTACCAACACTACTCACATATAGGCAGAAGACTAGAGCATTGAAACTCTAATAAGCCAACAGCCAAGATGCCTAGAAGGGAGCAGTACTTGCGGAGTCTCCTTTTAAAATAGAATCATAGAGGATGTAAGCAAACCTTTATTTAACAATCCTTAATGACCGAGGCTCTGTTACGGATACCTTTTCAATGGCCTCAGATTCGACTTTTTGCTTCAGCAATTTCTCAAAGCTCCTCTTCGTATTGCAAGGATCGGGCCCATTCTTTTTGCTTGGTATATTCTTTCGACCTTTCGTGGTTTTGCCTTTATTCTTCTTTATGGAACCACCCGACTTTTTATGTTTCATGATGTTCACTCCATATTTCTTCAACCTCAACTTTCCTTGCGCCATCGCCTTTGGTATCGCGCTTACGACCGATGACCTTGAGCATCTGTACACACATGATTTATCCGATTTTTAAGTGTCGCTTTGAGACAAGTTCGCTTAAAGTTCCTGATTTATTAAGTCAAAAAATATAAGTGAATTACCAGTTAATTATTATAAAGGTTTTCACCGTACAAATGAATCAAGTTTAAGACGTCTTAACACACAAGGGTCCATGCATACGTAACATGGAATTCTTGAAGAACTGTTAAGAGAGTCTTACCGCAGACTAGGTAGCTCAAATAAAGTATGCTTTTTGTCTACGTTTTCTTTGAATCACGCCGGAATGCAAAGAGTCGATTAAATGCGTAAGATAATTTAATATAAGCTCTACTGTAATACGATAGTGGTTTATCCCCCGGTTCTAGTGAGGCGCAACTTTTGTACTTTGAATTAGCCCCCTTGTACCTCGCTGGGTGGGCTGGTCTTTTGGGCCATGCCAATAGCCCAGACACCTTCTCCGTGCTGAATATATATATATTCTGCCCGAGTATTGTGTCTTCTTTCGCCTTTAGGGAGTCTCGGGACGCTACACTACTATCTGCATATCTCAAATTATGGAATTAGGAAAAATCTCTAGTGACTGCTTGTCTGCGTATCGCCATTACTAAACGACATCATTAGCTTCCTCGGCTTGAGATTCCAGATTAATAACAGTGCCTATAAATGCTTAAAATTGAGCTTGTAGCAAGTTTAAATTCATGAGATTAATGTAGCGTTTCAAAACTTCTCTAAAGGTGGAAGAAGACATTATACGCTCTCGGAATATAGTACTATCAGCCTTCAGTAGGATATGGTTTAGAGTTTAGAACGTTAAGCAAAGGTGCGGTGGAGAGGCCTCTATTGACTCCCCATACCAAAACCGGAGAATTAGACAAACACCGTTTTACACAGCCATTCCCTTCCTTCGAACGCCGCCTTTGGTGCTCCTCTTGGTCGACCTCTCACGTCAGTTATCACAGCGTAATTAGCGCTGTAGGAAAAGCATCCACGAATCAACGGTGTCCGTCATCGAATTTCCATGCGACTGAGACGATACATGACCCCGATGTCACTGATCCCTCTTGGTACTTCTACTGGATTCGGATTTCCGTCCTGTATGAGAGCTGCAATGAGGTAAGGGGACTCTGCTGGCCACTACACATGTCTACCGCCAGTGGTAGGAACACTGGCCTAAAAGCAGAGTGATAATAAAAAAAGACTGGGTTTAACATAGTTCTTAGGGGTTAAAGTTTCGAGTTTATTCCTCCTGGATAATTAGTTCTTACTTCATTGCTGCCCAGCAATACCTATCTGGATTCCGTCCAGCAGGTAGAGAAGTGGAGAAGGTATCGCATGTTTGGGCAATTGATATAATTATGCAGGTACGGTGGATAGCTTTGCAACGAACTTCTCCAGAGGTTTCATGGCCAGTGCCGCTTTGGACGTTAATAGCTTTCCCACAGAACACTGGACTGGGGTAAGTGTCAAAAGTATGTGTAACTTTTACATCTGCCAGGTAGCGTCACTTATACTTCCGTCAGCCGCTATCCGCTTCTTTCCTTATGATAAGGCTTATCACCCAGAAGTGAAAAGATAGGGTTCGAATTCCACTTCTACCACTGCGGAGCTTCGAACCTGCCCTGGAGACTAAAGAGGACATAAAACTCGGGCAGAATGTATTTTGTCGACATGAAGAATAGATTGGGGTTGCGCGCATAGTCTGGTGGCCAGGCTGTCTGAAATGCACATTGGTGGAGCCCTTTGTGGCGTCTTACTATAACCGAGCGTTAAGCATATCATTAACATATTACATATAAAATAAGCTTATAATATATACAATTTTTATTTGCCTTTGTACGTTCACACTAGCTTCTGGGGCTAAATACAAGCTAAATCGACATCAAAGACTTGTGTAAACTAATTTTGTTGTATGATATATTGAATACAGCGCCCCGGTGCTTCCCTGAAGTCGAAAGATATCAAAGTAATGTGATAAAAAGTATTGCTGATTTTTGGAATAGCTGAAACTGCTTGCATGGCTTAGGGATCATGCCACTGAGTTAAAGTTTATTCTGCGAAGACTTAAGCGCCCGCGCAATCAAGCATAGTGTTAAACAAACCATCCAAGAATTGCACAACCCCTAGTTTCTTTTGAGCGACTTTCCATTGCTTCCTTTGGTCAACTTCTCAAGCCAACTATCAGGAAGTAGTCGCTGCTTTAGAAAAAATACCCATGCAGCAGCCACACTAGTAGTATGATTCCTGTTAAACTTTGAAAACATTTGATCCCAACGTCATTGATGGATCTTGGAGATTCCAACGTGCCTAAAGTTTCATCCCAAGTGGGAAATGTACTGCTCGGCACTGGATGAGGCTACACAGCGAGAGCATCTTGAATGCCAATTGCTAGTTGTAAAACACTGGCCTAAAAGTAATCATCTGATAAAAGAAGGGGTTTACAATATCCTCATGTGATTAATATTGTGCACCTGTTCACCTTTGACACTCTATTCTCACTTCTGTTCTGTCCAGCTACATATTTGTCCTTTATTCAGCTAATAAAGTGGCGGGTAAGGTATCTTGATTTCCCTTACCTGGCATCAAACAATTACGTTGACAGCTAAGTTGCGAACTTTTCCAGATTGTTCAAAGCTACCCTCACTTCGGTCGCGGATAGTATTTTTGCAGAACACTGGACTTGGACATCGCTAAAGGGGGACATCATTTTTGACATTCTGTTAAAAAGTTCACAGATTCTCCTTGTAGATGTTCTTCTTCTGTTACGGTAAGGTTTAGCAGTCGATAATAGTATAATTACCGTCCTTCAGAACCGGGTTTGCTTGCCGCCCCTCTTGACAATTCACCCAAGTCTGGAGTCTTGTTCTATATGGGAATTGGGTTCAGGAACGGGGATTTA